TGTTCAATAATAAAATTATTCCTCAAAAATACAACTTGCCTAATAATTCTGCACTCCCTGTAAACACTGTGTGGTGAGTTAGCTGGCTGGCACAATAGTCACAAGACCTTGAAACAAAACTGTATGAGTAAGCAGCTGTGCCAAAAAGATGCAAGAAGACAAAACTGACAAGACAGGAAGTGAGAGAATATATCATCCCACGTTTAGTCACAATGATGACAGTGACAACCATAGCAACTAAAACCACCAGGAATCATACCACACTAATAAATAAAGCACAAACTGAGTATCTCTCAGCAGATATCTGGATATTTTAGATTATCATTGTTATTATTATTATTCTACTACTATCAGCATTACTCAATACGAGCTGCATTGTTAAAGACGTTCATAGAGTACAGCAATATTTTTTTTTTTAACAGGAAACCACACTAAATATGAAATCATGTGGGCTTCAGTCCTCCATCCTGTGTGGGTCAGTATGAATGAGGAAACTTAGTCATTTTACTGTTGTCAACATGAATTAAATGACTTGAAGTTTCACAATGAAGTGCTAAATTCTCTGCATATAAGAAAAAGGAGCTGGCAGAGCACATTGCTCAGTAATTAGTGTTATGACATGAAAAGCAATTGCTTGGATGAGATATGAAGTTTAATTAAGAGCTGAGGCCTGTATTGAATCAGAATAAAGAGCAGAGGCTAGGCGGGCACGTGTGTGTATAGCCCAGCAGAGCAGAGGCATCTGATCCACTGCTGTCTTGCACAGTCTAATCTGAGATGCCTGTTAGAAATTAGAAGGATTAGCGGCTGTCTTAAGTAACATTTAGCAGTGGTCTACTGTCTCAGGAGACGAGGTGACTAAATAAGTCCAGCTAAAAATACCCACTACTCCTTGACGTAAAATGATTATAACACAGTTGTAAATGCACACAAAAATAAACCTTGAATGAAAATGAAAAGTGTCACCAATGCTTGTAATGCTCAGTTACAATCTGTGTAATGGAACTTGCATAATAAGCATCTAGGCTTTGGACTAAGACACAGCACATGCCCTCACCACTACGATGCTGTTTACAAACATATGCACAACACTGCAGTGACAGGGAGAAAAACCAGAGATCGTCTAAAGAGAAGGTGGCATAAACTATCTAATCTGACTTGGAAAAGTTTTTTTCCCCACTCTGTTAGAAAATGTGATAATTATGGTATACAAAAAGGGAATGACTCGCACATTAATGACAGCAGGATCTGGGGGCACTAATGTTACCAGCAGTAACTCTATACATCAATACAAAACAACACTTCCTGCTGACCGTAAAGGGAGAGAGCTGTGTGTCAGGAAATCCAGAGGTAAGTCAGTAATAAATCACAGATTTACCCAAGACCTAAAGCTAAAAAAAGATAACACTGTTCAAAGCGTGCACCTCCAAACCAAAGTTACAAAAGAAAAAAAAGTTACAAAAGCAGCACAGTGCGCCGCCCTCACTGCTTTAGTCAGCACAGGGTAAAGTGTGTTGCCACAAAGTTCAAGAGTGACAACAAAGGGAGTTGGAGTAAGAGGAGGAAAAAATAATTAACTACATGACGCAGCCAGATAACAGTGACTGCAGGCCCAGACTTCAATGAAAAGCATCTGAATAAACAGGTGTATTGCCAGTAGCTGTACTCGAATTACAAAGAGCAGCTCTACTACCAGATCAAAATGCAGTGAAAGGAAAAAATAAATAAATGAATAAAACCTTGCATCTTGGGGAAGCTGTATATATAATTATGGTGATGCCATTTAGTAGGCCTAAGAATTACACACCTGAATTGTGCTTTTCTAAAGTTACTATCTGCAGCAAGGCCAAACTGAGCTGACAGAAACAAAGAAATTCCCTAACATCCCAGTACAGGGCGGGTCTGAAGTTTGCTGTGGAACTCATTCATAAAGCCAGTGTGCGGCCAAACACATGGTTCCCATCTATAGTACTGATAAATTAATCAGACTTTTTTCATCTATTATTTAGTAACAGGCCCTCTTAGCTAACAGAGGACATCAGACTCTCATTGCAAAGACAAATGACCACAGGGAAAAGGTTTACCTCTTTCACAATATCCGTTTAGCCTGTTCTAATAGAAATGACCTAAAAAAAGGTGCAATCAGTCCTCACCACACTAAGTTAAGTATTTGGATTAACAAATGACCATGCAAGAATATTTTCACCTGGAAAAGTTTGTGTGAAGTTATGTTTGAGTTTCAGCTTACTGTAAGGTCACATTCTATGTGCCAACACATCCTAACCAACAACTTCCAGTTAATTTTAACTTGTGCAGTCTACATCTGCCAGTCCCTCTGTAAATATCCATACAGGTGACTCAGCATGGCGTTGGCCCCTTACAGCACAGCAGGAAATCCAGTTTTGCTATGTTCCTCCCAGCCTTCAAGTAAAGAGTGTAGTAATGCAAGGATAATACACACTGAGAGATGTAGAGACCATCATCTTTACATCTTAAAATTTCAGCCTAGTCTGTCTTCCTCCTAATCTGCCTGTTGTTATTATTATTGTTATTATTAATAATAAACAGATAAGACAGGTTTGGGCAACCTGGCAGCAAACAGGCATGCAGAGGACTGCCTAAATGTGTAACCTCTAAACCCTGACCAGTAAATATTCATTAACCAATGCCATTTCCACTTAGTAATGTATAGCAAACATGATAGCTTATCATTGTGTTAGTAACATTACTCTGACTGGGCCAAAAACAAAACAAAAACAGGCCCAATCGTTTAAATGAAGCCGTCCAAATCACAATTAAAGTGTTTGTAGTAATCCACACAAGGGAACGCCACGTAGTTCACCTTCAGCGATTGTTTCCTCCACGGTTACTTGATATCTTCCAATGCTGAAGACTCGTCCGATGAAGCTGCCTCCGCCGCCGGAACCAGCGCCTCCTCCACCGGCTCCAGGACCAGGCCCGGAGCCCCCAAACTCCCGACGGGAATCAAAAAATTTCTTCATTTTCCCTTGACACTGCCCAAAGCAGGACCGAGTCCAAAAATGTATAAATGTCGCGACAACGACAGTAGTTGGACAGAGTCAGTGGCTGAGGTGCTGGCGTCAACGCTTCAACAGCTGAATGAATGCTGCTAGCTGGCTTCAAGCTAAAAGCTAGAGAAACTAGCTGGACCTTAAAATATCCCGAACACTGCTGCCTGATGCTGTTCAGCTAACTCATGGTTTGAACAGCAGGCGGAGTCAAATAATGCAGAGAAGCCGCTTTCCACTCTATACCAAAATCAGTACTAGCTACACAATGAGCCGGACTATGAGCCCGAAAAACCCAGTCAGCTCACCTAGCTAGCTAGTCAGCTAGCTAAGCAGCCAGGTGCCAGCTGTCAGTCAACAGACTAGCAGCCAGGTAGATTCCTGATATCAAGTCCAGGTCGTTACACATCTCGGTCGATATTCTCCCGAGCGAAATGTTAGTCCACTTGCTGCCTTATACCTCTGTATCGTTGAGAAAATGTCAGCTCTTTACTGTTTGTATTCGTGCTGCAGGTTAGAATAAGCCTAGTCAACTAGGTTAACTTAATGACAGAGCTACCACGCTAATGGCAGAAGTCCTCCCCATCTCCCCTGAATCCTGCTGGACTGCTCCTCGTGTGATTGGTCAAATCAACAGCGACTTCCTGTTAGTGCACCCTGCTTGTCCCTGAGCTGTGGATTGTCAACATAAATAAAGTGAGTTTTGTTTTTTCATCAGTCTAATTTACTAATAACAGTAAAATAAAAGGAAACCAATTTAATCTTTAATCTCAAATTTGTGAACAAAGACGAGGAAATATCTACAGAAGGGGATCCCCACAGAATTCATACGTGATTTCTGTTCCAAACTTCTGAACATATTAGATATAAAGGTGAAAGATATGGAGCTATAACAATAATAATAATGATAATAATAAAATGTATTATACATATCCTCCTGAGAACCGAGGAAAAAATATTTTTTGTGTGTGTGATTTTCTTGGTCTTTGGAGCTAAAAGAGGCCACCCAAACACACGAGATATCAATGGAAAGCCCATGAGGCACTCTATTTAGTACCACAGGACTAGGTAAGGTAGCTCAAATAAGTAAAAAGATATACACCAAAAGCAAATGTCCATTCCAGATAACATAAATGAATAGGATAGTTCTCAATATTTAAATACAAAAACCAAAGTGAAACAAGCAAACCCACAGTAACTAAACTAAAATAAACTGAGAACAAAACATCAAGTCAGTAAAACAAACAATAAAGTTGGCCAGTTCAAACATCCATGATAATCTTACATTTTTAAACACAGATATTATGTTAGAGTTTTATAATAAAGATTCATAATTACAAACACATAAAGTCACTTAAATTCAATTCACTTTGGTTTTATTTATTATATAGCACCAAATCACAGAAACTGTTGCCTCAACTGTTGCCTCAACCTTACATTCCTTATAATGTAAGGAAAATTACAATAACATAGAGAAACACCCAATAATCAGATGACCCCCCTATGAGCACTTGGAGAAAGTGGGAGGGAAAACAGCAACTTGTTGGGATGAGGGGAGGGAGAGAGGACAAAAGACACACTAAAGAGAGCCAGATATTAATATGAATTTCATTAATGATCAAATGTAGAGAGGTGTGTAAACACATAGAGAATGAAGAAAAAAGTCCCACGACATGGTAAGGAAAGGATAAAACACACCAACTGCGCTGAAAACGGTAATAGTTATGCATCTGTTTAAATGCTGCTGTGACATGCCATATTTACCATCCATTTGTTACCACAGCACCAGACGTAATTATAACAAAGAGTTGACGCCAGTCCACTTCAGCACTTCTCCATGAGTGAATTGTCTTTACTGATATTTGTTGACATTTTAAGTTATGGCCAACTATTCTAAACTTTGTGTTTTTAATCTGTGTTTTTCACTGCCATAGGAAATTGTTAAATAAATCCTATTCTTGCCTGCTTGAAGTTAAACACATTCATATTCTTAGTTGCATTCTTGTTTCAGGCCAATGCAATATCGAAATGGTCAGTTTTAATACTGTCATCTGAAATTCAAAAGGTGAGATTAAATATTATTTATAGCTCAAGTTTCGAAGACTGATCTGAGGTCTTGGCTGCTCGTGTGAGTGAAATACTTTTTCCCGCAGGGGGCGCTGTTTCATCACAAAATAAATATGGACTTGTAGACTTCTTCCCCCTATCTCAAGGACCATATTTCCCTTACCTTGATGGAAGGTTTGTGTGTGTGTGTGTGTGTGTGTGTGTGTGTGTGTGTGTGTGTGTGTGTGTGTGTGTGTGTGTGTGTGTGTGAAAAAATTGGAGCCAAACTTTTAAACAGGAGCCACTTTTCTTATTTATATGTAAATTCCTGAAAGACAGTCAAACTCAAAGTGTTTGCAGCATAGATCCAAAATCCCCTCTTGTGTTTGTCATTCACACTGTAAATAATATAAATATATAATGCATTATGGAAAAGTTCAACATATATTTCCATTCATATCATTTTCTCACAGCTCCCTACTTATGTACTGTATTTGGACATGCATGATAACTTGTTTACAGAATATAGGACATTCATTTGAGTGCAGCTATTATCTTGGAATAAATGTAGCTACACATTTAAACATGTGGTGACCATTTTGCTAAAATAATTGAGCCATTAAGCTGTTTCAGCTGCAGAGTTGTTAGTGCTCCAGTGATAAATGACAAAGCTCTGATGCATTCTTTCCTCTGTGATCATCTACAATATGTTGGATCTCAGCTGACCGAATAGCTAAAGGTAAACAGACTTTGTTCTCATTTTGTGTGGTCCCCCGAGAACCAAAACATCCTTACAATTTGGCGTCTGGACTCAGATAATGTGAAAAGGCGAGGTCAGAAAAGCAAACATAATTTATGTGTACCAACAAGTATTAGAATAGAGCTGAATGGTGCCTGTGACCGGAGCGGAGCTGCAGTTACATCATTAGAGGAGTTGTATCTGCCACGTTGAGAGAAAAAAAAAATCTGAGCTCTCATAGGCTAGAAAACCTGCCAACCGTAGAGCTTTCTTCTCCATGTGTGAAATTGCCAAAACAAAATACCAGGTTTGAATTCTTGGAGATCAAAGGGATATAAATATAAACCTTTTATTAATAGTTTTTCCTGAGGATCACCTTTTTCTAGAGTAATTTTAAAATAAGCAGAATGGAAGCAAAGATTAATTCTGCGCTTTTACCTCCGCCTTATCTCACTGCCTTCCCCCAATCCTCTCAGATGAAATTTATTAAAAGATCAATCCCAGCATATTACTTTTTTTTTTTTTTTTTTGCTTGAAAGTATCTCTTACACACATACACACACACAAACACACACATGTGTCGTGTACAAATTGCTATACTAATTAGAGCTGGACGATTCGATATTGTGTATGGGTCTGATACTGACATAAATTACTGGATCAGATATCAGAGAGAAATAAAAAATGTCATCCGATCCATTAAATATCAAAAAAGCACCTCACAAAACTTGGAACATGGCATAACTCGGCTCATAGCTGCTCTATCACGTTGCAGCAGTATGCATCACGTGATAGAGCGGCTGTGTGTATTTGTAGCCTTGCTACCAATCTGGCATTTCATCTCCCAGGAAGTTATCCCAGAGAGAAGTAAAGCAAGTGTGTAAGTTCATCTCTGAATGTTTGTAAAGCATTCCCGCGTTAAGCTTAACAACCAATACATGGAGCGACTGCCTCTCTCCCTCCCTCTCCTGCTGCTACTTCAATCCTGGAACTGATCAATGATCAGCTGATCG